TTTTTTTTACAGCCTCGCAAAAGTTCAAAAATATGAGCTTTTTTAATTTTCTCAAAAAATATTTAACTTACAAAAAAAAGTTTCGTACAAAAGTTGTTTAAAAGACAATTATAAACAAAAAAATTATCTTATATTTTTTCATTTAAACAAACATTTTTCGAGTTACATTACATTTAATGTGAGTACTAAAATTTATATTCCATTTTTTTCATATTACGGTTGCTTTTTATAGATCATAGCTGGCCTCACAATTTCATACTGAATTTAAAAACTATAATTAGTTTTTATAATTAGTTAGTATTTATTCATATATTATATTTTAAAATCAAAAAACTGCTAATCAGGATATAATTAAAGAAATAAAANTTCTACTCAATTGATGAATGAAGAAACTATTGGAGGTATTGATTTACTTAGAGTTAAAATTCTAGTCCTACTTTTTTATATTTTAATTTATAATAATAAAGTATTTGAAAAAAAATTTTTTATACGTTTGTATTAATTTTAAGTAAAGTTATTACGTGATTAATTAGTGCAATTGACTAACGAGGAAAACATTTTCTTATTTATATTATTCAACTATTGACAGACGTCATTTAATAATAAATATAGAACTTAGGAATAAAATAAGCTAAAAATAACATAACCAATTGTAAATTTCTAGAGTATTTTCAAGATCCTACAAACACTTCTACTCAATTGATGAATGAAGAAACTATTGGAGGTATTGATTTACTTAGAGTTAAAATTCTAGTCCTACTTTTTTATATTTTAATTTATAATAATAAAGTATTTGAAAAAAAATTTTTTATACGTTTGTATTAATTTTAAGTAAAGTTATTACGTGATTAATTAGTGCAATTGACTAACGAGGAAAACATTTTCTTATTTATATTATTCAACTATTGACAGGCGTCATTTAATAATAAATATAGAACTTATGAATAAAATAAGCTAAAAATAACATAACCAATTGTAAATTTCTAGAGTATTTTCAAGATCCTACAAACACTTCTACTCAATTGATGAATGAAGAAACTATTGGAGGTATTGATTTACTTAGAGTTAAAATTCTAGTCCTACTTTTTTATATTTTAATTTATAATAATAAAGTATTTGAAAAAAAATTTTTTATACGTTTGTATTAATTTTAAGTAAAGTTATTACGTGATTAATTAGTGCAATTGACTAACGAGGAAAACATTTTCTTATTTATATTATTCAACTATTGACAGACGTCATTTAATAATAAATATAGAACTTAGGAATAAAATAAGCTAAAAATAACATAACCAATTGTAAATTTCTAGAGTATTTTCAAGATCCTACAAACACTTCTACTCAAATGATGAATGAAGAAACTATTGGAGGTATT